GAACACAGCCTTAGTAATACCCATTACCACTCTCATCCCCCCACCCTTACACACAGAACACAGCCTTAGTAATACCCATCACCACTCTCATCCCCCCACCCTTACACACAGAACACAGCCTTAGTAATACCCATCACCACTCTCATCCCCCACCTTTACACACAGAACACAGCCTTAGTAATACCCATCACCACTCTCATCCCCCCACCCTTACACACAGAACACAGCCTTAGTAATACCCATCACCACTCTCATCCCCCACCCTTACACACAGAACACAGCCTTAGTAATACCCATCACCACTCTCATCCCCCCACCCTTACACACAGAACACAGCCTTAGTAATACCCATCACCACTCTCATCCCCCCACCCTTACACACAGAACACAGCCTTAGTAATACCCATCACCACTCTCATCCCCCCACCCTTACACACAGAACACAGCCTTAGTAATACCCATTACCACTCTCATCCCCCCACCCTTACACACAGAACACAGCCTTAGTAATACCCATCACCACTCTCATCCCCCCACCCTTACACACAGAACACAGCCTTAGTAATACCCATCACCACTCTCATCCCCCACCTTTACACACAGAACACAGCCTTAGTAATACCCATCACCACTCTCATCCCCCCACCCTTACACACAGAACACAGCCTTAGTAATACCCATCACCACTCTCATCCCCCCACCCTTACACACAGAACACAGCCTTAGTAATACCCATCACCACTCTCATCCCCCCACCCTTACACACAGAACACAGCCTTAGTAATACCCATCACCACTGTCATCCCCCCACCCTTACACACAGAACACAGCCTTAGTAATACCCATCACCACTCTCATCCCCCCCACCCCACCCTTACACACAGAACACAGCCTTAGTAATACCCATCACCACTCTCATCCCCCCACCCTTACACACAGAACACAGCCTTAGTAATACCCATCACCACTCTCATCCCCCCACCCTTAAACACAGAACACAGCCTTAGTAATACCCATCACCACTCTCATCCCCCCACCCTTACAAACAGAACACAGCCTTAGTAATACCCATCACCACTCTCATCCCCCCACCCTTACACACAGAACACAGCCTTAGTAATACCCATCACCACTCTCATCCCCCCACCCTTACAAACAGAACACAGCCTTAGTAATACCCATCACCACTCTCATCCCCCACCCTTACACACAGAACACAGCCTTAGTAATACCCATCACCACTCTCATCCCCCCACCCTTACACACAGAACACAGTCTTAGTAATACCCATCACCACTCTCATCCCCCCATCCTTACACACAGAACACAGCCTTAGTAATACCCATCACCACTCTCATCCCCCCACCCTTACACACAGAACACAGCCTTAGTAATACCCATCACCACTCTCATCCCCCCCCCCCTCTTACACACAGAACACAGCCTTAGTAATACCCATCACCACTCTCATCCCCCCACCCTTACACACAGAACACAGCCTTAGTAATACCCATCACCACTCTCATCCCCCCACCCTTACACACAGAACACAGTCTTAGTAATACCCATCACCACTCTCATCCCCCCACCCTTACACACAGAACACAGCCTTAGTAATACCCATCACCACTCTCATCCCCCCACCCTTACACACTGAACACAGCCTTAGTAATACCCATCACCACTCTCAACCCCCACCCTTACACACAGAACACAGCCTTAGTAATACCCATCACCACTCTCATCCCCCCACCCTTACACACAGAACACAGCCTTAGTAATACCCATCACCACTCTCATCCCCCCACCCTTACACACAGAACACAGCCTTAGTAATAATCATCACCACTCTCATCCCCCCACCCTTACAGACAGAACACAGCCTTAGTAATACCCATCACCACTCTCATCCCCCACCCTTACACACAGAACACAGCCTTAGTAATACCCATCACCACTCTCATCCCCCCACCCTTACACACAGAACACAGTCTTAGTAATACCCATCACCACTCTCATCCCCCCACCCTTACACACAGAACACAGCCTTAGTAATACCCATCACCACTCTCATCCCCCCACCCTTACACACAGAACACAGCCTTAGTAATACCCATCACCACTCTCATCCCCCCACCCTTACACACAGAACACAGCCTTAGTAATACCCATCACCACTCTCATCCCCCCACCCTTACACACAGAACACAGCCTTAGTAATACCCATCACCACTCTCATCCCCCAACCCCTACACACAGAACACAGCCTTAGTAATACCCATCACCACTCTCATCCCCCCACCCTTACACACAGAACACAGCCTTAGTAATACCCATCACCACTCTCATCCCCCCACCCTTACACACAGAACACAGCCTTAGTAATACCCATCACCACTCTCATCCCCCCACCCTTACACACAGAACACAGCCTTAGTAATACCCATCACCACTCTCATCCCCCCACCCTTACACACAGAACACAGCCTTAGTAATACCCATCACCACTCTCATCCCCCACCCTTACACACAGAACACAGCCTTAGTAATACCCATCACCACTCTCATCCCCCCACCCTTACACACAGAACACAGCCTTAGTAATACCCATCACCACTCTCATCCCCCCACCCTTACACACAGAACACAGGCTTAGTAATACCCATCACCACTCTCATCCCCCCACCCTTACACACAGAACACAGCCTTAGTAATACCCATCACCACTCTCATCCCCCCACCCTTACACACAGAACACAGCCTTAGTAATACCCATCACCACTCTCATCCCCCCCACCCCACCCTTACACACAGAACACAGCCTTAGTAATACCCATCACCACTCTCATCCCCCCACCCTTACACACAGAACACAGCCTTAGTAATACCCATCACCACTCTCATCCCCCCACCCTTACACACAGAACACAGCCTTAGTAATACCCATCACCACTCTCATCCCCCCCACCCTTACACACAGAACACAGCCTTAGTAATACCCATCACCACTCTCATCCCCCCACCCTTACACACAGAACACAGCCTTAGTAATACCCATCACCACTCTCATCCCCCCCACCCTTACACACAGAACACAGCCTTAGTAATACCCATCACCACTCTCATCCCCCCACCCTTACACACAGAACACAGCCTTAGTAATACCCATCACCACTCTCATCCCCCCACCCTTACACACAGAACACAGCCTTAGTAATACCCATCACCACTCTCATCCCCCCACCCTTACACACAGAACACAGTCTTAGTAATACCCATCACCACTCTCATCCCCCCACCCTTACACACAGAACACAGTCTTAGTAATACCCATCACCACTCTCATCCCCCCACCCTTACACACAGAACACAGTCTTAGTAATACCCATCACCACTCTCATCCCCCCACCCTTACACACAGAACACAGCCTTAGTAATACCCATCACCACTCTCATCCCCCCACCCTTACACACAGAACACAGCCTTAGTAATACCCATCACCACTCTCATCCCCCACCCTTACACACAGAACACAGCCTTAGTAATACCCATCACCACTCTCATCCCCCCACCCTTACACACAGAACACAGCCTTAGTAATACCCATCACCACTCTCATCCCCCCACCCATACACACAGAACCCACCCTTAGTAATACCCATCACCACTCTCATCCCCCACCCTTACACACAGAACACAGCCTTAGTAATACCCATCACCACTCTCATCCCCCCACCCTTACACACAGAACACAGCCTTAGTAATACCCATCACCACTCTCATCCCCCCACCCTCACACACAGAACACAGCCTTAGTAATACCCATCACCACTCTCATCCCCCCACCCTTACACACAGAACACAGCCTTAGTAATACCCATCACCACTCTCATCCCCCCACCCTTACACACAGAACACAGCCTCAGTAATACCCATCACCACTCTTATCCCCCCACCCTTACACACAGAACACAGCCTTAGTAATACCCATCACCACTCTCATCCCCCACCCTTACACACAGAACACAGCCTTAGTAATACCCATCACCACTGTCATCCCCCCACCCTTACGCACAGAACACAGCCTTAGTAATACCCATCACCACTCTCATCCCCCCACCCTTACACACAGAACACAGCCTTAGTAATACCCATCACCACTCTCATCCCCCCACCCTTACACACAGAACACAGCCTCAGTAATACCCATCACCACTCTTATCCCCCCACCCTTACACACAGAACACAGCCTTAGTAATACCCATCACCACTCTCATCCCCCACCCTTACACACAGAACACAGCCTTAGTAATACCCATCACCACTCTTATCCCCCCACCCTTACACACAGAACACAGCCTTAGTAATACCCATCACCACTCTCATCCCCCACCCTTACACACAGAACACAGCCTTAGTAATACCCATCACCACTCTCATCCCCCGTGTTATGTATACCATGTACATGTATTCTCATTGATCATTTTGTAAAAAAGACACAAAATCCTGCGTTCTGGGAATTTCTGGCACACTTCTGGCGCAGTGTGCAGTCGAGTCGAGTACAGTACTCAGCACGACTGCAGATGCATAACAGATCTACGAGTACGAGTCTAGAAAAAGGTCAAAGTCTGATCAGCGCATATGCATAACGTTGGATCCTGACTTTTTTTATTACAGTTTAGCACGTTCCGGACGGACCACACTTTTCGAAAAGTGGTACGCCATGGTCGTACCAGTCGTAGCGGGTGCTACGCCCCTGCATACTCTACTACTACATACACATGCCTAGTACATACTCTGCTAATACATACCCTTGCTTAGTACATACTCTGCTAGTACATACACTTGTTTAGAACATAGTCTGCTAGGACATACACTTGCTTAGTACAAACTCTGATAAGACAAACACATGGTTAGTACATACTCTGAAAACAGATGCTGTTCACGGATTTGAGTATTATGCTCCCTAGTAGTCAGCAATGTTGTTAGGTTGAGCACTCTTACCTTAGCGCGCACCCTTGCCGCTCGCCTTGTGCAACGCTCACTGCTCTTGGAGCATTTCGAGCACTCTTGGCGGGGTTTGCAGCTCTTTATAAAAATGCTTTGCTTCAAGGAAACGTATTTCATTGTGAAGAGCTGCGCTTCGGTCCTCTGAGCTGTGCTGAGGAGCTCTAACAGAGCGAAACAGTTGCTGTCTACAGATTTGAGTACTCTGATAATACATACCCTTGCTTAGTACATACTCTGATAATGCATACCCTTGCTTAGTACAAACTCTGATAAGACAAACACATGGTTAATACATACTCTGATAATATATACACTTGCTTATAATGGTTATGTTGTGGTCTGAAATTATTGTTGAGTGCAGGTCTGCTTGGGAGAGTAGCTCGTGATATTGTGCAGGCTGGTTTTGACATCTCTGCTATGCAAATGGTAATCATCTGTAATTGTCTCTCCTATCCGTCTGTTTGTCTAGCTGTCTTGTAGTCTCTGCCTCTCTTGGCCTCTTGGGCTTTCGATATCTGTCCACCTTTCCCTCTCTCTTACACACACACCTTGAACCTTGAACCTTGAACGTGCCCATTGCCGATGGCAATGATAGCGAAGGGACTATCCGCTAGCTTTGCAGTACGGAGCGTGGCGCTTGAGGTCCCCGGGACGACGGCAGACCTTTCCACATGCGCAGCGGAAACCAGAGTCAGGATCAGGAGGAGCACGGGCGGGAGGACGACGATGAGCGATCCGCCTCCAGACAGAGCGATCCTGGGCAGCATCAAACCAGCAGTCAGAAGGCACAGGGGGGCTGATGGAGCGGAGATCATCCACGATGACGTCACGCCACCGCTTGCGTGGACCATGGCGAGGGCGTGTTGCAGGGAGCTCCCCAAACAAAACTCGCTTCGGCATGCGGTCGTCGTTCATCCGGCCAACATGGCCAAGCCAACGCAGTCGATATTCCCGGATGATGTCCGCGACGTCACAGTCAATGCCGAGGGTTCGGGCCATGGTAACCGAGGTGACGCGGTTGTCCCACTGGTCCCGCCTGGATACGCCAACGATGATGCGAACACACTGGTGATGAAAGGTGTTGAGAGAGCGCAGGTCCGGTGCCTTCGGCGTCCACGTCTCTGCTCCGTACAGGAGGGTCGTCAGCACAAGGGCGATGTACACGCGGCGCCGACAGCGGAGAGATAACGACCGATTCTCAAACACTGGGACACGGAGACTGCCGAACACACGCGAAGCCTTGGCGAGACGGGACTGCACATCATGCGAAGACTGCCCGTCCCGATGGATGACGCTGCCAAGGTACGTAAAACTGTCAACGGCCTCGATGGTGCTCTCACCAAGAGACACCGGCTCATTCATGGGCGAATTGACAGTCATGCATTTGGTCTTCGATAGACTGACCGTGAGGCCCCACCGCGCCGCACACGAAATGAACAATTCCGTGCACCGATCAAAAATCGGCTTAGTGGTGGCATACACTGCAGCATCGTCCGCAAACTGGGACTCTGTGACGACATCACGTCGCAGGCGGGACTTGGCAGTGCGGTCCCCAACCAACTTTCGGCCAACTCGGTAGTGCAGCTCAACACCAGCGTCCGGGCACATGGAGCGCCAATACCCAACGACTGCAGAGAAATACAAGTTAAATAAGACGGGTGCCAAAGTACAACCCTGACGCAGACCGTTGTTGACGTTAATGGCAGCAGTGACACCACCCTCGATGCGGACCTTCACCTCCATCGACTCATGCAAGGACTTGATGATACTGAGCATCCTTGGGGGAACACCAAACTTCTGGAGCAAACACCACAGCGCTGGACGGGGGATCGAGTCGTATGCCTTTCGCAAATCGACAAAGAGAGCATACAACGGCGAGTCATGTTCGTAAGATTTCTCAATTAATTGCCTGGCAACAAAGATCATGTCTGCACACCCTCTGCCCTTGCGAAAACCAGACTGTGACTCGGGAAGCATCTTCTCCGAGATTGTCTGCAGCCGGTTCTGAAGAATCCGCGCAAACAACTTCCCAACAACATCCAAAAGGCTGATACCCCTCCAGTTATCACAAACTTTCAAGTTGCCTTTCTTAGGTATTGGAACAACGATGGCATCCCGCCACTCAGCGACAACCGATGCCTCATCCCACACCAAATGCATGAGCCGAACCAGACGATCATGGAGCTCCTCACCACCCGAGATAATCATTTCGGGAAGGATACCTGATTCCCCACCGGACTTTCCAACTTTCATGGAGCGCATCGCCGCAAGCATCTCTGCCTTCGTCGGGGGATCATCCAGCTCGGTCTGCAGTGGCTCATCCGGGATAGCTGTCAAGACAGCTGGATCGTACTGGCTCTCGACATTCAAGACGCCGCCAAAGTGCCTGAAAAACCGATCCCGGATACCATCGGAGTCCGTCAGGAGTACACCATCCTCATGCAGCACTGATGTTTCACGCTTGGGCTGTCGACCTACGTGGAGGGTCT